GAGGTGGCAGCACCATGTGGGGGGCACCCAACTCTTACATCTTGGCACAGGGACCCCAATGCTAGAGGATGTAGATGAGGGGGGCATCCGGCCCTGGCACCTGGTAAAGCCAAGTGAGGAGCCAGAGCCTCCCAGGCCGCGGAGGGGCAGCCTTCGGAGTGGGGAGCGTGAGCGAGCCAAGGCCATTCCTGAGATCTACCTGACGCGCCTGCTGTCCATGAAGGTAGGGCTGGGCTATTTAGGAAGAACGGCTACCCAAAGGACGTGGAGGTGGGTGGTGTGGAGCCTGTACAAGGGAGTGGCTGCTGGTATCCTTCCTACCTGGGCTCTGAGCCTCCTTGTCTTCCCGCAGGGTACACTGCAGAAGTTTGTGGATGACCTGTTCCAGGTGATCCTCAGCACCAGCCGCCCTGTGCCTCTAGCTGTCAAGTACTTCTTTGACTTGCTGGATGAACAGGCTCAGCAGCATGGCATCTCTGACCAGGATACCATCCACATCTGGAAGACCAACAGGTGTGGGAGGAGCAGGGCTCAGGACAGACGTGAGGGCCTCCTGGCCCCCCAGCATAGTTACCGGCCCCCTTCTCCCCGACTTGCAGCCTGCCGTTGAGGTTCTGGATCAACATCATCAAAAACCCACAGTTCGTGTTTGACGTGCAGACGTCCGATAACATGGACGCAGTGCTCCTCGTCATTGCACAGACCTTCATGGATGCCTGCACCCTGGCAGACCACAAACTGGGCAGGGTGAGCAGGCTGGGACATGACAAGGGAGGATGGGGCTCCCCAGGTGTGTGTGGACAGTGTCGGATGCACAGAGCTCAGGCTCCTGACATAGTTGGAAAGGTGATGATGGTTGGGGCCAGCCATTAACCTAAGGCATTCTCACACCAGGCCTCATCCCAAAGTCTCTTCAGAAGGTGGCCATAGTCAGTCTCAGGGGATAAGGGGAGGGGTTGTGGCACCTGAGTCAGCTCAGACTTGAGATGGCAGTAGGTGTAGCCTCATAGTTGGGGTGGATGTGGTGACAGACTGACGTACAGTCATGTGTAGCAGTAACACTTGATCAGGGCTCACCATCAGGGCAAGTGGTAGCCACAGTGAGCAGTGCCACTCGGCAGACTCCTGACAGTTACCTGTAGGTGGCCTAGCCTGTGGTCCGGCAGTGGGCAGCTCAAGCCAGCTCTGGTACAGGTGTGGATTAGCGGTGTGGGATATTGAAGGATGAGGCAAGACTCCCAGGCTCCAGACGATGGTGAGCTCAGGTTTGGGGGTGAGCCTAAGGAGTTGCAGGGGGGTCACCAGTGGTCTCTGGTGGTGTCATGGATTCCCCAGTCCCAGTGCAATCCCTCCAGATGCCTGGCAGGTTTGGTTTCTTGGGGTGTTGAAGGTCTTTCTTTCACACCACTGACAAGAGTCCAGGGAAGAGCCAGCAGCATGCTCGGGAGAGGCTGTGGGCAGAACACCAGAGGTGGGACAATGTCCTAGGAGTCACACAGCTCAGTCTTCTAACATGGAGTCCCCGGGCCAGGGCAGTGGTGTAGTGGCGCCTGCTGCCAAGTCTGATGACCGGGTTCAATCCCTGGGACCCATATGGTGTAAGAAGAGAACCAGCTCCTGCACGTTGTCCTCCGCACATGCATACCAAAAAATAAAATGTAAAAACAAACAAGGAAGTAGGCTAGGGTGACCAATAATCCTGGTTTCTTGGTTGCTGGGAGGGTCCTGGCATGTGGGTCGTTATAAAACCGGTGCTGGAGCCGGGCGGTGGTGCAGCACACCTTTAATCCCAGCACTCGGGAGGCAGAGGCAGGCAGATCTCTGTGAGTTCGAGACCAGCCTGGTCTACAAGAGCTAGTTCCAGGAAAGTCTCCAAAACCACAGAGAAACCCTGCCTCGAAAAAAAAAAAATAAATAAAATAAATAAATAAATAAATAAATAAAATAAAACCGGTGCTGGTCGGACCCTGGGTGCTGATCACGCTGTTGAACTTTGACCCTTCCTTCCTCTCTGCTGCTGTCTAGGATTCTCCCATCAACAAGCTTCTGTATGCCCGAGATATTCCCCGCTACAAACAGATGGTGGAAAGGTACCAGGGAGGGAGTGGGTCTGGGGAGGCGTGGGGGTGTGTGTGCAGCTGAGGCCCTAGGTGAGCCCTGGTGGCACCAAAGAAATGGTTTATTTAGCAGCTATTGTCCCTGGCTTTCTGGCAGATACTATACAGACATCAGACAGACTGTCCCGGCCAGTGACCAAGAGATGAACTCAGTCCTAGCCGAGCTGTCCCGGGTAAGGCCTCCCTTCATACGTCTCAACTGTAGAAAAGCCCTCGTCACCTCTATACCTCTGTGATCTGGCTGGGAGAGGACACACGCCCTGTCACTATATGGACAGTGTATTTCGGTGTTACTGCAAAAGGCCAGGCCTCCTAGCATCTCAGAGTGAGCAGGGTCTCGTTTTGATAGCTGTCGCCTAATCTGATCTAAGCAGGTGCTTGTATATTGTAGCCCTTGCTAGGGTCTGTGGAGTAGGTGGGGTTCAGCTCTTGGCCTTCTGAGTCAGCTGCCCACACTGCCCACCATTCTGCTACCATGTGGCACCTGTAGCACCCACATGAGGACATTAGGAGCTATGGACAGTGTTCCTTAAGTGGTTACAAGGACACTCACACTACCCATGATAGCTGTGCCAAGCCCTTCATGGGGGTGTGCTTCTGCCCTGGATCCCCTATGATCTCCATGAGTTACTTGGGCTGAATCAGCATTACTGTCCAGAGAAAGAGGCTGAGTATTTGATGTCCCCGTGGAAGACTTTGGACTGGTCTCAGGACACGTTTGAGTAAGATCAGAGCAAAATGACATGGAGTTCCCAGCCAGTCCCATGACCCTAAAGTCCTCCCTGAATGGGAGGACTATCTAACTCTAGCCTCGCCTGGGAGAGGCAGGTGGGTTCCAGCACAAACTCCAGCCCTGCCAAAACTAGTCCTGGGGTTTCTTCCTACCATGGAAGTCTTTGGCCTTGGCCTGAGCTGTAATCTTGGGTCCCTGCCCTATAGAGAGGCTTACCACCACAGGACCCATTCTTTTTCAGGTCCCCTTCTCTGCTCTCTTCCTTCTCTGGCATCCTGGGTCTCTTTCCTCCCACTTCCTTCTCATTTCTCTCCCCTTTTATTTGCCCTCTTCCCCAGAACTACTCTGGTGACCTTGGGGCGCGCGTGGCTCTGCATGAACTCTACAAGTATATCAACAAATACTATGACCAGGTGAGCACACCCTGGGCCCCGACTGCAAGGCAGACTTTGCTGTCTGTGTGCTCCTTGGGAAACTGAAAGGGGCTCCATAGACTGGCTCAGTGATGTTGGCTCCTCTCTCCCTGTCCCTACAATTCCCCATCCTGGTCCTGCAGTACGGCTTCCAGACATGGTAGTAGTGGTTGGGGCTACCTAGAGAATTTGCGAGGGTCTGGAGCTTGTGTGTGGGATGTGCTGGAAGACCACTTAGTTGCCATCCCTTGAAGATTCCAGGGTTGGCTTTGTCCCAGATATTACCACTTCTGTGGGTACAGATTGGGCTGGGCTTCTGGAACCAAAGAATGAATGAGTGAGGTACAGCAAAGTCATGGAGGGGTTCTTCTTCTGGGTCCTCTCTTGAGCAGGCCTGTTGTTCTGAGGCCCTGTTAGTTATGAGTTCCCAGTAGAATCACATACCATATCCTCCTGGTCTTGGCACATAGACTCATGAAATGCCATTAGCTGGCAGGCAGGGCAGTGGGGATGGCTGCAGCAGACCTGCGGGAAGGCCAGTGCGTATGTAAGGCTGGATCCTACACGAAATGAGCTGGGCAGGGAAAGGATGTTAAGTAATGAGTAAAACATGTCAGTCTCCAACTGCCTGGTCTTTAGCATCTCCATGTGGTGACGCTGGACTCTATTCTCAACACCAGAGGCTGGAAGTTTGTGTAAGGCCTCACCAAGACCTTCCCCAAAATAAAAACCCTAGAAAAGCAAGCCATGGTGACTTTGTTCTGTTTTCACCCTGACAGTAAGTGAGGTGATTTACTGGATTTCTCTGTACTTACCCCTGACTGCGGTACAGCCCTTGGGCCGAAGTCCACCTGCAGTAATCGTGGGGTTCAGAGACGTCTCCCCTGAGTCTGTTGCTTCTGTCTTCCAGATCATCACTGCCCTGGAGGAGGACGGCACTGCCCAGAAGATGCAGCTGGCCTACCGGCTCCAGCAGATTGCTGCTGCCGTGGAAAACAAGGTCACGGATCTATAGGGGACCAGGGAGTCCTGGCATGCTGTACCTTAGCACCTCCTGGGCAGCCCTGGAATCTCAAGGGGGAGTCACCTTCGTAGATGCCTGTAGTGACTGACAAGCAGAGTTTAATGAAAGGTGGCTCCCAGTCTCCTGCTGGCTTCAGCCCCGTTGGGCCCACCTTGTAGGCCTGGGACCTAGTGGCTCAGTGGGTAGTGCCAGGCCTGCCCCAAGCCTGTTAACTCTGGTATCCTTCCTGGGTGACGCCAGCCTGCAGGGAGCTGGGGACTTAGGGTTTCCAGAGAATATCTGGTAGGGCCTCCGGGCCCCTGGGGACACTGTACTGTTCTGCACTGGCCTGTGTCCCATGAGGACTCACAGCAGAAGGAAGAGAGCCCTCCCACTTCCTGTCCTCTTCGTCCATCCTCCTTGGCCTCAGTTTAGCTTCCTCTGTCTTTGTTCCCTGTTGCCAATTGCAAGGCCTGAGCGGAAAAAGGAAAAAAAAATGCCTTTCCAGGCTGCTGCTGCCTCAACAGCCATGGTGCCTCAGGCCCACCCTCTCTTCTGGGAAGCTGGTGGGGAGGGAGAGCAGTGGCCCACCCATGATGCAGCTCGTCGTGAAAGGATAACACGTGGTGTGGAGTCTGACCGGGAACTCACCAACCCTTCTGCTAACTGGCAGCTGTTGGGGACATGGGCACAGTCACATTCTGAAGGGCCTCCCGACCCTTATGAAAGGCCTGTCAGGTGGCAGGCTCTGCTTCCTGGAAAAGAGGACTTGAAGCATGATAGGACTCAGGGAGAGCAGGTTCTCCATCGTCAAGGGTTGCACCTTGTCTGCAGGTTGTGCGCATGTCTCCACTCACGGTCCATGATTTTGAAAGGAATTGAGAAAGTGTGGCATCTTTAAAGGGGACTGCAGGCACCGTGGGAATCAAGGGTCCTTGTCTATGGCCCTGTTTCTGGACCCACCCGATTTCCAGATTGCTATCCGTGTTGAGGTACCTTAAGGCAGGGGCTCAAAGCCAACCACCTGCCTGTGAGGTGGCCCATTTGCATGGCATTTTCCTGTTTGAAGTTGCCGGTGAGCTTCAAGACCAATGTACTGAGGTGTCTGTAGCTGCCTGGATCAGCAGAGCTGGAGGTGGAAAGTGCCCTGGGCCTCACTATGTGAGGACTTTAGTGTCCTCAGAGAGTACCCCCTTGGCCAGCCACCTTTGAGGTCTTACCTGAAGGTTTGAAGAGATGGGCTGATACATTTCCAAGAGGGGGCCTTCTTTGTCATCTCCAAAGTCCTTGTCTTCAAGAGAGCAGGAGCCATGTTGGTTTTCATTCCAGGGGTAACCACAGCTGCTATTTCTGTCGGCTCTAACATCCTGTCTTGCCCATGCCGGTCCAATGTGGGAGCCACAGCCACAGATGGGGTCAGCAGTCGGGTCCTCGTTTGGGAGCTGCGAACCTCAGTACTAATAATAGCTGTCTTAGTCCAGATTCTATCCTCACTCAGAGTCTCTGCCTCTCCCAGGGCTGACCATGGGGTTGACGGGGGAATGAGGTCTTGGCTAGACTTCAGACAGGCGCAGGGAGGGAGGCAGCTTGAATCAACATGGGGAGAGAGCTGCACCTCTGCTCCGGGCTTGCTTCTGCGGTCTTTGGGAGTCCTTTGGGAGGCGGGGGTTCTTGGGGAGGAAGGCCGAGTACCGGCGTGCTTGGGCGTGCACTCACGGGAAGGGCGAGTCCTGAAGATGCTCTGAATCACTCATGTCTCAGCCTCACAGAACACTGTGATAAAAGATGTCGTGAAAATAAAACCTTACCACATACGATAGGAAGCTAAGTCTTGACTCAAACACCGTGGCCAAGAATGGCCGTGCCCGTGCCAACAGGACTTGGCGATGGCTCACTTGGGTCGAAGCCCGTTTTAGTTTGGTCGGTCTTCTCCCTTTCTCTCCAAGTTCACAAAGGTGTGCCCTCCTTGTTTTTCACGGACTTGTTAGTGCACAAAGGCCCTTTGTATCTCACTTTCCCCATCAGTTTAAATATTGGAGTAATTGTCTGGATTTTACATATATTTATTTTTAATTCTTCAAGATAGGGGTTCACTTTCTCTCTGGCTGCTATGGAACTTGCTAAGCAGACCAGCCTGGCCTTGAACTCCGTCAACTGCAGCTGAACTAAAGGTGTGAATCACCACACCTTTAGTGTGTGTGTGTGTGTGTATTTTAACGTAAGAATGGTGCTTGTGGGTGTAACACCTGGATTTGTGCTGATGAGCACCGAGGTCCCTTTGGAGGTCACCTTGAACCTTGGAAAGGGACAAGAGCACAGGAGACCACTGACTGATGTCCAGTCTAGACTATGCTGGGCCACAGCATAGACCCACCTTATCTTTCCCCTGGGCAGCAGTGCCCACCAGTGCCTGTGTTACCAGGATTCTGCAGGAGAACACACTAAAAAGTGCACATCCACCCCCGGTCTGCTAAGGCAGGGGGGTTCATGGCTTCATCTTTTTTCAGGATCCTGTGTCAAAGATAAAAGGCTGGAAAGACCACAGTGGTTACCAGCACTTGTTCTTTCAGAGGACCTGAGTTCTGTTCCTGGCAACCACATTAGGTGGCTACCACTTAAATTCCATTTCCGGCGGATCTGATGCCCTCTTCTGGCCTCTGTGGGTACTTCACTGACACACTTTCCCATGACTACAAGTCTTGATAAATTCTCATACCTGCATGCAGATTTTCTTAGGAAAGGTCTCGGCCTAGGCTAGCCTGGTTTTCACAGTATTGCTCCTGCCTCAGCCCCCTGACTACAGAGATGACAGCTCAGCGCCACCAGGCCCAGCTGGATCTCAGAAGCCTGCTCAGCAGAGAAGAGCACTCGCTGCTCTTGCAGGAGACCCAGGCTTTATTCCCAGCGCCCACATGGTAGCAACTCCAGGCCCAGGAGAGCTATTGTGGGCACCAGGCAGGCACATAGGCAAAGCTCGTTATTTTTGTTTTGTTTTTTCAAGACAGGGTTTCTTTGTGTAGCCCTGGCTGTCTCGGAACTCAGAGATCCGCCTGCCTCTGCCTCCTGAGTGCTGGGATTAAAGTGGTACACCACCACCACTGCCCAGTTTATTATTTTAAGAAGGTGTCTGTTCTTGCCAGGCATAGTGGTGGATACCTGTAGTCCCAGCATTTGAGGGGCAGAGATAGGACAGTCACTCCAAGTTCAAGGCTAGCCTGGTCTACACAGTTAATTCTAAACCAGTCAAGGGTAGACAGGGATCTTTAAAAAAAAAAAAAAAAAAGATAGTTTATCCCATTCCAAACTTACCAGAAATTGAAGGTGGTGTTTGAAAGAAAATTTCTTCCTTGGCTGCAAGATTGATGGGGGAGGCAGAAGTGCTTGGATTATCTGGAGGACCTGTTCCTGAGACCTATGAGCTGTCTACCCCACAGAGAACCTGCAGAAAAAGGAATGTGCCGTCCCATGGCTGGTGTCTGGCTTCATACTGCCATCTTCTGGCCATAGTGTAGAATTGCGATGGCTGTGCAGTTACAAGCCCTGTTCTTCCAGAGTAGCTTGGTCCTCAGCGCCCATATTAGGTGGCTTACAACCGCCTGTAACTGCAGCTCCAGGAGATGTGACACCTCTGGCCTCTGGGAGCACCCCAGCTCAGGACAGAAAATGATCCTGTAGCAGTGAGTAGCCAGTAGGAAAACCGTTGTGGCTTCCCAGCAGTGGTAGTGACCGTACGTTGGTGGAAGGGTGGAAAAGAGAGAAGCTGAAAGTCATCCACAGAAGGGGCCACCGTTGCTTCCGTTGCCCGCAGCCTGTCTCTACTTGTCGCGGCTGTGGTGGGCAGGGAAGCTGACACCATGCTCTTGGCTCAGGCTTGGGGTTAGATAGGTTGGTGGTGCCAAGATGCTTCACTACCATGGTGAATGTTTGCCACCACGAGGATTCAAGCCCCTCTTGCTTGAACCTTCCCTCCACCCCAGACTTCACTGCCTTCCCAGACATAAGGCCCATGCCCTGCCATGGGAGTTAAGAGACCTGGGTTCTAATTTCACTTCCCTCAGTGGCTGGATATCTTCAGAGAAGGGAAGCATCATTCTGGTGCATGGTGGGGGCCATCCTGTGTTGAGTGACCTCTTAAGCTGGCATCTCGAAGGGTTTAATGAGGTAACAACCACTAGATTGGTCAGGTCCAGGCAGGGCATTGGTGGTACGTACCAGGAAAGGACAGTTTGTCCAGAGCCACTTCACAGATGGCGGGCGTTAGAGGGGGTGTGAACTGCAGCTTCCTCAGGCCAGGTCTCCACACACCAGAGGTGGAGCAGCTGTCCCCAGCATTGAGCTTGAAGAGAAAAGCAGGCAGCTGGGGCGAGTGGAAAACTGCAGCTGAATGGAGGGCAATGTTGTTGAAGGGGCAATGCAATGCGCAGGCACCGCACCTACCGCAGCTGCAGGGGTGATGCGCAGGCACCGCATCTGCTGCAGGTGGCCATGACAGGAGGATGCTCTTCCCACTTGCCGAACTTCTTTCAGGCTGTCTGAGGGCAGCTCTGCAGTGCAGAGCAGAGCAGAAAGCAATGGAAAAGACAAATGATGGGACCAACATGAGCATCTTTCATGCCAACTCTGTAAGTGACCAGCAGGGTCTCTATGCAAGACTGTTCCAGCCATAGCAAGAGTTGGCCCCAAGTCTCCTGGTTTTTAGGACCCTCCCTCTCCCCCATGTCCTGGTTCTCCTTGGGAGGAGCCACACACTCTACTTGGAGGACCTTAGAAATTTCAACGTTCAGAGCTGGCGGTGCCCCCGTGCTGTCTCTCCAGGCTGTGATCCAAGAACAGCAGCAAGCTTCTGGCTGCAGAAGACAGGTTCTCAGTCTATAGCTTCATCTGTGGATCAAAGGCACAGGCCCCCAGGGATGTGAAAGCCAGTATACCTGCATGCCTCACCCCCCCACAGAGGTACATTTGGAGCCCCGTGTATAGTGCCGCTTCCTCCCAGGCTCCTCATTGTGTTCGAATGTAACAGCACATGTGTGCGATGTGTGTGTGGTCACCCTGAAGGAAGGGAGCCCTGGTAGAAAGCTCCACGGGCTGAGAGTGTAAGAACTGGACTTTCACCTGGCAGTGCCCACACAGAACAGACTACGCAGCCTCAGCCCCTGCTTCTATAAGTCATGCCCTAACCACCTGCCAGAGAAGTCACCGTGAGAAAGCTTTCGCTGCAAGGACAGAACCCAGGTCCTCTCCAGGTTCTCCTTGCCAAGAGACCAGACCCTGCTGGCTGATCCACTCCACACAGGTTTCTCGGAAGATGAGGAAGGGGAGGGAGCAGAAAGTCTAAGTTCCACATTGAGCCCTCCTAAGGTAGCCACATTGATCACATGGAAGGGCAGAAACTGAGACCTGGGTCCTCGTTGAGATTCAATGTCCCCCTCACATACTACACAGGGAGCCCTTCTGTCCTTAGGACTTTGTCATAAGCTGAGTTTGTAACTCTGAAACAGAACATTAAAATCGAATTCTTTCTCCTACTACTACTTTCCCTCCCTCCCTCCCTCCCTCCCTCCCTCCCTCCCTCCCTCCCTCCCTCCCTCCCTTCCTTCCTCCTCCTTCCCCTCAGTTTGCCTGGCTTCATATTTAACTCTGCCTGGCCTCTACAGTAATCAGGTGAAGTGGTTTTGTTTTCAAGATAGGGTTTCTCAGCCGGGCGGTGGTGGCGCATGCCTTTAATCCCAGCACTTGGGAGGCAGAGGCACGCAGATCTCTGTGAGTTTGAGACCAGCCTGGTCTACAAGAGCTAGTTCCAGGACAGGCTCCAAAACCACAGAGAAACCCTGTCTCGAAAAAAAAATGGATAGGGTTTTTCTGTGTATATCCCTAGCTGTCCTGGAACTCACACTGTAGACCAGGCTGGCTTTGAACTCAAAGATCCACCTGCCTCTGCCTCCAAAGTACTGTGCTACCACTGTGTGTTTGCTGGGCCAGAACAGGCCTCTGGGCAGCTACCTGTCTAGTCTGTCCACTGCGTAATATGCCAGGAACTCTGCACAACTAACCAGTAAGGACAACCTGAAGAAACAGTCATTTGGACAAAAACAATTACTGTTTCTCTTGAGATCTGCAGAGCTGAAAAACATCTGTGACCAGTAATGAGGTCAGGTCTGCATACCTGGTCACTGACATCACCCATGAGAATGTGCCACCTGGTCTCCAGTTACCTGTTTCTAGAAAATAATCAATTCCCGGTAGCCTTGTCCTCTGCCTGGTCATTTTGTGAACAGCTAGCTCATCAATAAAATTCTTTGTCATGCACCACCTGTCCCTTGCCTGGTTGGCTTTTTCAGGCTCTAAGCAGAATTCGTCATGGTGCTCATGTGGTGAGAGGGAGTCAGTTCTCTTCCACCACGTGGGTCCGATCAAAAACAGGTCATCAGGCATCTTAGTGAGCTCCGTCTGCCCTTTTAAAAGGCAAAGAAGCCCTCAAATGCACACAAGCATCTGGCTTTATAGTAAGTGGCATTCTCAATAGGATTTTTGTTTTTGTTTTTTGAGACAGGGTTTCTCTGTATAACAGCTCTGGCTGTCCTGTAACTTGCTTTGTAGTCCAAGCTGTCCTCAAACTCATAGAGATCCGCCTGACTCTGCCTCCTGAGTGCTAGGATTAAAGGCGTGCGCCACCGCCACTCTCTTGGTGGGATTTTTCTCAGTGTCAAGGGAGCTCAATCAAATGGTTGTCATTTATTCCCTTGTCAGTACAACTGTTTTCTTTCTGAGCCCAGCCAGCAGAAGAAAACTCATACAGCCTTGCCAGCAGATCCAGCCCAAGGCCAGCAGATGTCTTAGACCACAGAGGTCCCAGTCTCATCATTTGCCATGGGGAGAAGCATTTACTGAGTGCCAGCCACCCAGAGAACCTTGCTCTCACTCAAATGTCCCTCTCAGAGTTCACATGGCCACAGGGAAGTCCCTGGTAAGACAGTTGCTAAGCTGTTGCAGTTAGGTTGCTATGGCTGTGATAAACACTGTAACCAAAAGCAACCTGGGGAAGAAAACGTTTATTTGGCTTGCAGGTCACAGTCCATTCATCATCAGAGAAGCCAAGGCAGGAAACTAGAGGCAGGAACTGAAGCAGAGGTCAGAGACCAGTACCATGAGCTTGCCTGGCTTGCTTTCTTATGTCACTCGGGATACTGCCCTGGGGACAGAAGTGGGGTGGGAGTGGCCGCATCCTCCCACATCAATCATCAATCAAGAAAATGCCTTACTGTCTTCCCTACAGGCCAGCAGGACAGAGGCATTTTCTCAGTTGAAGGACTTCCCCAGGTAACTCTAGCTTGTATAAAATTGACAAACTGAGGTAACGGCTAACTGCAGATCGCATTTCTAGATCCTGCAAGTGCAGAAGGGCATTTCCCTTCACCCACTTTGCCTTGTATCTTTTGTTTCCAGATAGGGTTTCTCTCTGTAGCCCTGGATGTCCCGGACCTCAGAGATCTGCCTCTTCCTCCCAAGTCTGGGATTAAAAGTGTGTGCCACCATACCCAGCTTACTTTGCCTTGTTTTAAAATATTGACTATTGAAGTCATTTCCATTGTCCTCAATTCTCTGAACAACTGGTCTAACACAAGACTAATAACTTTAAGGCTAATTTCTTATTCTCCTGCCGTTGCAATCAGTATTAAATTACTGGTGCATAGCCATCATGTGGAGAAAGAACCATGGTGTGTGGACAGGCTGCAAATACCATGAGACCCTGGAAAAAGGCAGACAAACCAGGATTCCAGATTGCCAAAAGCATGTTTGTGGGTAGCAACGAGACCAGTGGACCCCCCCCAATCTGTGCGAGCAGAAAGGAGCTTCTGGAGTGAGGACAAACACAATTTAAGCTAATGCCTGCTTTTCTCAAGCTAATACTAAAGATGTCAAGATGGTTCCTGGCACTGTTGGCACCAGGTGCAGGGTCTAAAGCTTCACATATTCCAATTAGCTATCATCCAATGGGGAACAAAGGGAGGAGACCAGACCACAATAGTTATGGCTACAGTCAGGTTACGTTGAATCCCTGCATGTTATAGTGTGCTTAAAAGGACACAAGATGCATCTGTTTCTAGTTGAAACACTCTTCTATATCCCAATTCACAGGAAATCAACAGTCAGAAAAATTAGAAAATTTATATTAACTGTCAACTGGGCAGTGGTGGTGCATACCTTTAAGCCCAGCACTCAGGGAAGCAGAGGCAGGCAGATCTTTGTGAGTTTGAGGTCAGCCTGGTCTACAGAGTGAGTTCCAGGACAACCAAGGCTGCCCAAAGAAACCCTGTCTCAAAAAAACAAAAACTAAATGACAAAAAAAAGACTTAAATTAACTATCACTGCAGAATTTTGTCATTTAAAAAAAAAGACAGACAGACAGACGGAGCAGGTGACAACTCTCCTGCTCAGAGAGTAAAGGCGCTTGCGACCACGACTCACAATCTGAGTTCAACTTCCAGGACCCACATTGTAGGAGGAGGAAACCAACTTTCAAAAGTGCACCATGGCAGGTCTGCCCCCAATCAATTAAAAATAGTAATTAAGTTTTAATGGGGGGGGTGGAGAGATGGCTCAGCAGTTAAGAGCACTGGCTGCTCTTCTAGAGGACCAAGGTTCAATTCCCAGCACCCATATAGCAGCTTGCAACTGTAACTCCAGCTCCAGAGGTTCTAACACCCTCACACAGATACACATGAAGGCAAACCACCAATGTATATAAAATAAAAATAAAGTATAAAAAAAACTTAATGGGGCTGAGATGGTTCATGGATTAAGAGCATGCACCGCTGGGAAGAGGACATGAGTTCACTGCTCAGTACCGACATCCACTTGTAAATCTACAACCACTGGTAACTACAGCTCCAGGGAGATCCCTGGGCTCAAGGCCACTCACAGTCATGTGCATATGCTACCCCCTGGTAAGACAGTTGCTAAGGTGTCCCAGTTAGGTTGCTATGGCTGTGATAAACACTGTAACCAAAAGCAACCTGGGGAAGAAAACGTTTATTTGGCTTGCAGGTCACAGTCCATTCATCATCATTTTAAAGCTTTTTTAAAATGAAAGACATCCTGGTCATGGCAGCTCTTGACTATAACCTCGGCATTTAGCAGGCTGAGGCAGGAGAATTCTTGTACCCACCAGTACCGTTGGGCCACATAGTAAGTTCTGTCTCCAACACCCCTACCAGAACATCCTCAAACCAAATCAAAACGGAGGGAAAAGAAAATCCATGGACATCAACATGTAGAAGAATGAAAATAGACCCATATCTATCACCATACACAAAACTTAAATCCAAATGGATCAAAGACCTCAACATAAAGCCAGCCACACTGAACCTCATAGAAGAGAAAGTGGGAAGCACACTCGAATGCACTGGCACAGGGAACCACTTCCTAAATATAACCCCAGTAGCACAGACACTGAGAGAAACAATTAATAAATGGGACCTCTTGAAACTGAAAAGCCTCTGTAAAGCAAAGGACACGGTCAACAAGACAAAATAACAGCCTACAA